CTACTGCCTTCAATCTTTCCCAGCATCAGGGTCTTTTCAAGTGAGTCACTTCTTTGCATCAGGTGGCAAAAGGATTGGAGTTNATGTCCAATTCAAACTGTTGCTTCTTGACCTGCATACAGATTTCTCAGGAGGCAGGTCAGGTGGTCTGGTGTTCCTATCTCTTTAGTAGAGATATATATAATATAGAGATATAAATAATACATAAATACATAGCTCTCTATATACGAAACAAGCTATCATTATAAACACAAGGAATCACAAATCCACAGGCATCTTACTTTTTGGAGTGTTTGGGCAAAATAATTTTTTTTAATAAAGCTCAACTCCTCTACAGGTATTTTTCTTTAACTCATTTGGGCATTAAATATCCAAGATCAATTTATTAAACACTAACTATACATAAGCACATTGGTTGGCTTTGTTTCTTAAAGATTTAGTTATAAACATCACAGTAGCTACTACAGATCTCTGGAACCTAGAATGGTGCCTGACCAACCATAAAAATTCAGTAAATATTTGTTGAATGAAGGTATGAATATTTCGTGTGTCCTTGGTGGCACAGGAGTTCGAGGACTCAAATCTCTTCATATGATCTTTTGCCTTTTTTTTTTTTTCTAACAATTTTCCATAAAAGGCGCCCAAGGGGAAAAAAACACTTTTTGAGCACAACCTCGTCAGGCTTTGATTCGAACGGGATGGTTTAGGGGGAAATTTCCATGATAGGAAGAGATGGAGGTTGAGATATTTTTATGACAGAAATAACGATGATGATGATGATGATGATAAAATAATCACCACGGCTCTGAGAACAAAGACATTAAGTACATATTAATAACCAGAAGAGGTGGTGCAGAGTGAGTGAGTCCCTGGAAAAGCATTACAGTGGGCAAAGTGAATTCGGTCCTGGTGACAGTCATTGCTGCTCTGCTGGGAGAAAGAAAGCCCAGCACTCCTCTGAGAGGACACAGGGCACAATGCTACGGAAGGCTGGGTTCCAGGGCACCGGGGAGGGGTGCCCGCCCACACAGGGCCAGCCGGGAAGCGGCGCATTCACGCCATGCGGGCGAGCACATGTGGCCCAAGAGGGCATTTCATCTACAGCTTCCTCCTGGTGGATCAAGCCCATTGGTTTTTATCTCTCAGCTCTACGTGTCATTCCCGTCTGCCACGGCTAACGTGCAGCGCTCTAAACAAATGTGCTCTTAGGGCAGTAACTCCTTAATATAAACTGCATTTAATAAAACTGGTAGGGACTCTTAGAAAGGAGGGAGGCAGGCTTGGAGAAAGTGGCTGGAAGAAATTTGCAATTAATATTCCAATTTCTCCTTGCCGTTCAAATTTAAGAGCTTTTTCAAAACTGTATTCGTCTCTGTTATTACATCCTTAATTAAATTAATTTATACGGTGAATGCTCTAACGATGCTGATGGAGATTTTCAATCAAAAAGCCTTATTGCGAGAGACAATGTGTGTGAAGACCTTGAAAAAAGAGTGGCGCTAGGCCTGGAGCAGGGGGATGTTTGGCCCTGACACCTGATTATTGAAGGGGTTGTGGCAGTTTTCCTGGACCTCCACTGAGGTCGTTACTTTATTTTTTAATTAAGCTAAATTAGGTCAGGGAAAACAAAATGAATCTCGAGAGTTGCCTTCACAGGGTTTTTCTCTCTGGGAAGCACCGTGGCAGACGATGACATTTCTATTGAGCAATTCTACCAGTGAGGTTGTGCCTGCCGGAAACCCTAAGCAAAGACAGTACCTCTCAGCCTGATCGGCTGTATCATCAAAGGAGAGGCAATCAGGATTTGGCCAAGAACACAAATGGCCCAGCTGTGGAAAAGGTCAGGCTCGGAAGTGAATTCCAAGGCCAGTGACTCATCCAGTGGTCCTTTCTGCACAGACACGGTCATAGGCTCACTAGGGGCTTCCAGGGCATGTGCGTGGTCACTGCAGGGCGTTGCTGCCTGGCACACCAGAAGCGCCGACACTCATGAGTGGTTTGTTAACCTAACGGGCCTGTGTGCTCAGTCGTGTCTGACTCTTGGCGACCTTTTGGACTGTAGCCCGCCAGGCTCCTCTGTCCATGGGATTCTCCAGGCGAGAATACTGGAGTGGGTTGCCATTTCCTCCTCCAGGGGATCTTCCCGATCTGGGGATCGAACCAGAGTCTCCTGTGTCTCCTGCATTGCAGGTGGATTCTTTACCTGCTGGGCCATCAGGGAAGTGCTAACCTAAAGAAATGTTAGTAATAAATCATGCCCTGTGCCTAAGATTTTATCTCTTCCTTAACTGTCTGTCTCTAGAGCAGAGTGTCACCAAACCAGGAGCAGGACCTCCAGCCCTGTGAAGCTCATTCCTTGCTCCCTATGTAGAGGTGCTGAATTTGCTCCCTTATCCTCTAAGTGTATTTCTAGGATTTATTTTGAGCATTTCAGAGGATGTAAGACCCAGTGTCTTTCTCAGTCACACAGTAAGAGACAGGCTTAAGAAATGTATCCGTGATGACTTTGTGCAGCTAAGTAACACCCTGATGCTTCACCCTACACCTCACCAAGGAAAGGGTCTCTATAATCCACACATTACATAGGAGGAAGGGTGCATAAAAGAATTTTCAACTGCATAAAAGAACGGCCCATCAGCTTTTCTTTCTCTTCCAAATGAACCAAGTTCTTTGTTTCTCTCAAGAATGAAAATTCCTTGACATTCACCAAGTTTGGTTGCATGATGAAAAGTTCCATATGTCAAAACACATCAACTGCAAGGGAAAATTAAACAGGAAAAAAAAAAAGGCAAACCAAACACCCAGCACTATTTGATCTTGTTTTAAATGGAAAGTTTTGGACACTTTAGAAAAAAAAGACAGCAAGTGCCTTTTTAATGGATTTTATCTGCAGGAGAAATGATTACAACCAGAAAAGCTTTAAAGTGTCAGCTGGTGATGCATTTTTCTTTATCCTTTTTATTTTTATTCAGAAAGAAACTGAAGGCATATGGCAAAGTACATCATTAATTTCTTATTAATTTCATAATAGGAAGGCAACCAGTTAAAATAGTAGTGCTACAACTTTAAATTACTGAACTTGCTTGGTATTTAATGAGAGATTTAGCACAGCAGGGATTCTATTAAATTAAGTTGTGCCTTCACATCACAGTGGGAAAACAGGTGTATATTGGTTTAGAATTATGGAAATGTTGACTAATTCCAAGGCTTGTAATCAAACAGCAAGGCACCCTGTAATATTTTTTGCCCAAGAATATGCATTAATCTTTTATGTCTGGACCCATTTCTTCCCGTCCACCAAAGCTCCCAGCTGATAGGAAACCACTTTCATGTTCTTGCTGGAGCTGTTAAGGGTGATGCTGATCAGATAAAGCAATACATAAATGCGAGATGTGGAACTCTGCTCCCCTTCACCTAATTTGAAATGGCAGATGTAGCAACAGTGTGTGTGCTGTGAAGCCTCAGAGCTTACAAATCAGACCTGACTTCTCAGAATTTTCACTTAACCTGCCTCAAGTAATTGGGCAGCGGAAATTGAACCGGATGAAAAGAAAGCTGAAAACAATCCACAAACCATCTTTTCCAACCCCAGAATTCTTGTCCTTAATAATGGGTTTCCAAAATCAGCAGCCCTGACTTCAGCATGCAGAAATTTTTAAAGCAAAAAAGAGACATGGGTAACAATTTTTTTTTTTAAATACAGAAGATGCTATTTGTTTGCTGAGAAAGGGGTCAGAGTAAGATGTCCGATGTCCCCAACAGAAGCAAGCTCATCAGTCATTTGCACAAGTTTCAGCACAGCCCATTCGTTGACTCTGGGTTTCGAGGAGCATCTCTTCACGCGTGAAAATGGCATGTTAGGAGCTGTGCTCCTGTTAGTGTAGGGGAAGAACTCAAATGAACCAAGCTTCACATTAATTTAAAATAGGATGAGATTTGGCACTGATAGACCCTAAATGCTATAACAACAATTCATCATCTCAAGTAACTTGTTTAAACACAAAGAAGGGATTTTGTACATTAATTACTGTAAAGTATTTCATTTCTAAAAGAAGGAATACCAAGTGGTCTCTGGGTTGGATTAGGAACCTTGGAAATAAAAATTATTTTTTTTTCTTACCATAGACAGTAAATATTTACCTTGGTTGATTCATTCAGTAATGTAACCTAACACTGCAACCTCCCAGAACTTACATTGGAAAAATTCCAATTATATAGGGAATGAAGCTGAAACAATACTTTAATCAACAGGGAAAATATTCCAACTAGCACAGAGAAATTTACACCAGCATGCACTAGATAAAACGGTCACAAACCCCCAGAAATCATGTATTCTGATGCAGCAGCTACAGCCAACATTAGTTCATTTCTAGGGAATGGTACCAAATGTCCAATATGACTGGGAAGGAAATGGAAACAAAAAATTGTAAGCTTTGAATTTTCTGTTCTCTATCGACATGAAGCCGCAAATTGGGCATTAAAACATTGACTTTGTTAACCACCACTGACTGTTTAGAAGCCATTAGGAGGTTGAATATTACGGCTGTGCAGAGTACATTTTGTCCTTTCAAAAGAAAAATCTAAGGACTAAATTTGAAAAGAGGCTCCTGGTGAGTAAAAGCTTTTCCTTTTCCATTTGCTCCTCTCGTGTGTTGCATGCGTGTGCGCGTGAGTTTTTTTTTTTTCCCTTACAATCGCTGCCCACCCAATCCTCTGTAGCAGCCACTGCGACCCAGTGGGGTCATTCTGATTTTCTGACCAGGGGACACACTCTCGGAGAGGTCTTTCTGTCAGCATTAATGCGAGCGCTTCTTGAAGGGCTGGCCAGCCGCTCTGGCTGCTGCAACGGGGACCAGGGGCCGGGTGAGGGGGTAGTCAGCACACCCGCCTCAAAAGCCCAAAGTCATTTTTGGCACTAAGAGCCCATCACTAGAACCTTCAGTTGAAAGGACCATTTTCAAGCAATAAAGTGATTTTGGTACAAAAGTAAACCGACTCACCCCAGGTAAAGTTTTAATATTGTGCAGTGCATTCTGGGCCTCAAGTGCAGCTTTTCTTGTATAAAATGTTACGAAACAACAACCTACAGAGAGAAATGAAAAGGTTTTAGAAATTTCTGTGAATGCTTTGCTTAGATATAATGGAGACTGGGGCGAACGAGTCAACTACTTAAAAGGAAGCACAATTTAAAAATAAGGTGCACGGCAACAGTAATAACAACAGCTCAAGCATTTACCCAGTGCCTTTCATCCTAAATCATATTTATTAGCTTTTCCCCACGTTGGGGAATCAATTCATAACTGCGTACCAACTACCGGGAACCTGGGTCTTCAGGAACGGGGGTGGGAGGCTGTGGGTGAGTTGTTAATGGAACTTGTGGTGCAGTCACAGCATCAAGTGAAGTGTTTAATCACAACCACAAGAGCAGACACTTATATTAACTATAATTGTCTTAAAGGACATCTCTAGAACATCACCCTTTTAAAATACTTGCTCAACTCCGAGGCTTAGACAACCGGGTGATAAGCTGCCTAGGAGCTGAGACCATGCCCTCTTCTTTCCAATTTCCACTGCAGCACATAATGCACAGTTCCACACACAAAACATGCAATATTTGTTTGCTGAAATGAAAGACTCTATTTTAGCCAGTTGAGAAAGTGAGCTATATGTGGTGGGCAGATGCTGAAACAGATGTTTGCACTCTCTGTGCTGAGAATGAAACATAGCCGTGGGACATCAACCACTAATCTCTTGATTCCTCATTTCTAAGAGGTGATGGGAGTCCATGCTGAAGCCTCCTCCGAGGGAGACCAGCCTATACTCTTCTCCAAACCACCTCCCTCCACCAAAGAAAACAGTCTTGAAACCTCTCATTCCTTCTGTATTCTAAAGCAAGGCTCACCCCTTCTTCAACCTGTGCCTAAAGATACTGGTTAACATGGTTAAGCCAGATGAAGACACTGGTTAATAATCTGTTAATTAGCACAGCGTTTCTTAGCACAACCAAGTGTAGACAAAAGGGATAAAAAACTTCGGAAATTAAAAGAAAAAGATGCTCCCCCTGAATTGCCTGTCTTGGATGAGTTGGGTTGAGAAAAAAAAGCAGAGAGATACAGTTGCACTCAATTAGCTCTGATTCTTATCCTCATGCTTAGAGAGATGGGGACAGCCTTGAGAGGTCCTCAAATGCCAAGTACAGCAAGTGGCTGGAGAGAAATTCACAGCACTAAGGCATCGACTTGGGCTCTATTTAGGGGGACGATGTAAGACCATGGACAGAAAAAAGTGGCACATTTGGAGAGTAGGAAGTTGGCACCACAAACCATCAAAGGTTCTGAATCACACATTAGCAACACTTTTCAAAACAAAAAACTCATTTGAAGGAGTAGGAGAAGATGAAGTACTATACCACCCCTATAGCATTCTGAAATACATATAAGATGCTTCCCCCTTATTTGGAAAAAACAAAACTTGGAACCTTGTTGTCATATACTATTTCACTGGAGTCTACTGAGATTAAATATGCAAATCCTTTACCTTCTGGATAAAGGAGAGTATGATCCTAGCTTTTTGGCATTTAAAAACCTCCATGTCTCCAAGGATGGGAGACTCTTCAAGTGTTTAATTTGCATGATGGGAGGAGTATGAAAATTATGGAGGGTCTTTAAAAATCACAGATGGACAGAGTGGGCCTTTATATATGAGCTTTCCACTTCAGCTATTTGACTTCTTAGACCAGAGTGCATTTGGTCATGCTGCCTGGTTGTAGATTATTTTTCCTAAACTGGTCAAATTAATGTGTGATTTTCAGCTCCAGTGGCATAACCTAAGCCCAGAAAAGCTATAGCAATTGCTTTAAATCAAGGAATGATTTTAAACAGCAAAGTCCAGTTCCAGCTTCTAGTATCCATTGTAATCACTTTTTTTTTGTAATCACTTTAAAAGGAGGAAAAATACCAATTATCTTCTATTAGACTTGATACAGAAAGAAAAACATGGGAGAAAAAAATCATAAAGGAAAAGAACACATAAAAAAAGAATATATAACTGAATTGCTATGTAGTACAGTAAAAAATTCCAATATTTTTGACTGTGTGGAACACAATAAACTTAAAAATTCTGAAAGAGATGGGAATACCAGACCACCTGACCTGCCTCTTGAGAAACCTGTATGGAGGTCAGGAAGTAACAGTTAGAACTGGACATGGAAAAACAGACTGGTTCCAAATAGGAAAAGGAGTATGTCAAGGCTGTATATTGTCACCCTGCTTATTTAACTTAAATGCAGAGTACCTCATGAGAAATGCCGGGCTGGATGAAGCACAAGCTGGAATCAAATTGCCAGGAGAAATATCAATAACTTCAGATATACCGATAACTCCAGTCTTATGGCAGAAAATGAAGAAGAACTGAAAGGCTTCTTGATGAAAGTGAAAGAGGAGACTGAAAAANGACTCAGTGGACATGGGTTTGGGTGGTCTCCGGGTGTTGGTGACGGACAGGGAGGCCTGGCGTGCTGCAGTTCATGGGGTCGCAAAGAGTCAGACATGACTGAGCGACTGAACTGAACTGAAAGTAAAAATTAACACAACATTGTAAATCACCTATATTTCAATAAAACTGAAAAGAAAAACAGAAAAAGACATCATCTCTGTCTTCTAAAAGCTTCTAACAAACAGACTCTCAGGAAGTTCTCCTTTCTCTATTCTGGGCTTGGCTTCTGGATAAGCAAGCAATGGGGATGCTCTGAACTTTGACTTCAAAACTGAAGCCTCAGAAAGGGGCAGAATCTGATGCTTTCAAGCAGGTAGATTTTAGGGATGTGATAGTTAAAAGACAGAAGCTTTCAGATGCAGTATAAGTCATGGAGCAGCTTGCTTGCCTGGAAAGAAGGCAATTAAGGAAGAATTTCCTAAGCAGAAGGAAAACAAATGCTAGTCCGGCCAAGTTCAGAGATAAGATGAAAAGCCAAGGTCAACCTAAAAGAACAGTGGAATGAAGAGGGAGCCAGAAACGGTGACCGACATACACAGTAAGACAAAAGCAACGAGGAACAAAGAAGATGTAAACTGAGGAAGACTTGTTATGGGGCCACCCCAGACCCGACGTGGTGGTCTCAGGAATAGAGTGGTCTCCACTCTTGCCTTAAACACCCAAACAAAATTCCAACCACTTTCCATGGCCTGGAAGTCCACTAGGAAGGTGTAGTTCACCTGCTATTGAAGCATTAAAACACTACCCTTGAGGAAGGTGATATTTAATTGTTCCTAGCTATTTACACCTTAGTATGAATTTGGCAACTCCAAGTGCTTCTGTCTTGAACAAGGTTACTGGTGAAGTGGTTTCTGTGTTTGTTTTGCTTTGACAAAGTTTGAAGCTGATGTCTGAGCAGCATGGGATGGGGGTGAGGAGGGGCAAGAAAGCAGAGAGGAGTCTAAGGAGTGAATCCTTAGAGTTCAAATCTCGAACTCTCTCCAATTTCATGCAGGCTCCACACTGCCTGTGCAGCTGAGAGGGTGACCTCAGGGATTTGCCATGACAGACCTCTCTGTGAACGGTGCAAGCCGCTTAACTCTTCTACTGGGTTAGCCAACAAGTCGGTTTGGGTTTTTCCGTTAACATCTCAGGGAAAAACCCAAATGAACTTTTTGGTCAACCCAATACTTTAGTCCCACTGAAACAAAGACTCTGGGAGAACATGCCCCCCAAAGCTCTAGCTCTAGCTGTAATACAAAGAAGAGTATCCTGGACACCACTGGTGACACATCTCCCCTTCACTGCTCACTAACTCCCAACCCAACAGCTCATCCCTGGGCCCCATGCACTTAGGACCTTTGAAAGAGGCAGCCTATCCCCATGTGGGCATGGCCCCGTGGCTTGGTGACTTAGAGCTCGGGCTGAATTTCTGCCCCAATGTGTAGCCTCAGCTGGATGCCCTCATGCAATGAACAATTTGCACCAATGTGGGGGCTCTGGGGGAAATCTCACCCCAAGACTCTTCTTTTGGTTTCGTACTTTCAGTTCCTGAATGCCTCTTTGGAAAACACCTTACTTCCTCTATACCTGAGTTATGCTGCATCACCTTGAAATCAATGCACAAAAACCAGGACTGCCTACCACTACTTCCTCCCTGAAAAAAAAAAAAAAACCCTACCTGGACACATAGCCAAAAGCTTTCATTCAGAATAAATTTAACAGTCAAAACTATTCCTTCCCTTTCTTGGGCTAAAAAATGTCTTGCACTTCACTCCACATGCATACTAATTGATTTAATAAAAATAGCATTTGATTAAGTTATCAGAAAATCTGTGGTAGAAATAGAGAACTCCCAATTTCAACATTCATCTTTGAGGCAGCCATTTGTGGTTTTCCCCCGATGGGACTTGAGTCTGGATGCTTCCAGAATAAGAATGTGTTTTAGAGACTCTTGCTTCTCTGAGTGCTCTCCCAGCTAAACAACCAGACTTTTTTAGCAACCAGTCACTTGATATGCTCATTAAAATTCATTGATTAAGATTCATTGACCTGAGGAAATCATTTCAACACAGGAAGGGAGAAGTATCGTTAGTATCTGCCCTGAGGTGGTGGTGATCACCATGGCAAAAGGTCGGGGGGAGACTCCAGGTCCTAGAAAACTCATGGTGGTGTAACAGGGTGGGAATTTTCTTTCCGGCCTACCCCAACTGGGTGGACAGCTGTTAAGGGAGCCACGTGGCTTGTGGACTTGCCCGTGCCAGCTGTTGAACTCAGGTGTGAAGTTCACTGGATTTGTCTGCAGGTCAGCTGTAACACCAGATGGCCCTGCAGTCTGATTCCGGGACAGACCTTTTTCCTCTACCAGGTTCTGCTTCCAACATCCTTGAAGGCGGGTGGTTAAACACCGACCAAAGCCCTGGGCGCCCTTCAGCGGTCAGCAGCTGAGCTGTGCGCCCGAGGGGACCACCCTTCCAGCGTCAGCATCTCTCCTGGCACCTGCTTTCCCTGCTGCCCACGAGTGCAGAGCAAGGCTTGCTCTACATCACAGAGGGGAGGTGACCTGCCAGGGAACTCGGGGATGGGCAGGGGCAGAGGCTTCAGCCAGGC